CTGTGTGTGGTATGCAAGCCCTTCTGGGATTTAGATGTTTACTGGGTAGTCGGTTCAAGCCAAGGTCAGGTACCAGGTGGGAATCAGAGCGGACGTAGTCAGATGGGAAAGCCTAGGTCATACACAGGGGAGCGAGAGAGAGAGTATCCGTAAGCCAAGCCGAGGTCAGATCAGGGGTAAAGCAGAGTAGACAGGTCCAGGAGCAAGCCAAGTCGGTAACAGGAAATCACATGTCAAAGTCACAGGAAACAGGAACAGGGCAGAGGGAACTAGAGATCATCCAGCAACTTGAGGAAGTGATGAGCCTCCTTATAAAGGCCAGCTGGCACCAGACTGAGACTGTAGTGTCCTTCTGCGGCCATGCAGAGAACTGGCAGAAATGCCAGATCTTCCAGAACCTCTGCCGTGGACAGGACCCTGACACAGTCTCTACACCCCCTTGAGTGTGCTGGAGACCTGTTTTGAAGACTCCTCTTGCATAGGTGGTCTGAGCTACAGGATTGTGTTTCCATTTCAATGTTACTATATGTGATGTATTTGTATATATGAGCTTCGTCTGCGTTGCGAGGTATAATGTGAGGCTTTGGAGAGCCTACAAGGGCTATTGTTGTATAACTGTTTCTTCGTTATTCTTTATAACAATAAAAATATTGCAACACAAACCTGGGCTATGGGTCCTCTGAAGTTATAGCGAAGCTGCCTACTGGCATAGCAGGATGGTGTGTTGAATCCATGGAGTCCATGTTTTGAGACATTGTATCTGAAAGAATGCTATAGAGTTTTTCGTGAAGCATGAAGAAATCTAGGCAGCTATGGACTTCCATAAAGGATATGAATTGTTGTTTCTAGGCTTTTGCTATAGATTGTTTGGCTGCCAATAGTACGTATGTAGCCAACTTAAATTGTTTTGTAAGGCCCGAGGCCTTCAGGTGTAGAAGAACATGCCACGGGTCCCTTGGGAAGGGGTGAGCTAAAAAGGAATGCTGGAGTTTAAAGGACCTTTGACCAGAACTGAGAGAGCATAGTGCATGTCCACCATATGTGTAGGACGTCTCCTGGGGTAGCGCAGCCTCGGAAACAGGTAACGGGGGCAGATAGGTGTAGGTGTGCTAAACGGGACAGGACCAAGTACCAACTTGTAACAGTTTTAAAGGCCGATTCCATTGTAAGAATATTGATAGAACATGAGGTCAGGGTTGTCCATACCTGTGACCAGCAGCCCATATCTTTGGTGTTTTTAAGGTCCTTTTCCCAACTGGAAATCTAAGTGTGGTTGTTCCGAAGGTTTGTCAACTGTGAGTAAAGGATGGAAATAAGTTTGGGGGAGAAGGGCGCCCGATGGCAAATATGTTCAAACAGGGACAATTTGGTTGTCAGGTCTTTGTCAGTGAGCATCGAAGTCACCCAATGTTTGATTTATAAAAATCAGAAAAGTTCGGAATGGTGTGCTTGGTATTTGTCCCTTATCTTTGGCCAGGTGTAAACAGAATGACCAGCAAGGAACAAGTGGACCCACTGACGTTTGTGGGAGGCCCACTAATGAAAGGCACTGGGGGACTCAAGGCCTACTTTACAAGGTCCCTTATTTCTGCCCAGGTGTAAACAGAATGACCAGTGAGGAACGAGTGGACCCACTTTAGTTTGTGGGAGGCCCACCAATGGAAGGCACTGGGGGACTCAAGGCCTACTTTACAAGGTCCCTTATTTCTGTTTAGGTGTAAACAGAATGACCAGTGAGGAACGAGTGGACCCACTGAAGTTTGTGGGAGGCCCACCAATGGAAGGCACTGGGGGACTCAAGGCCTACTTTACAAGGTCCCTTATTTCTGCCCTGGTGTGAACAGAATGACCAGTGAGGAACGAGTGGACCCACTTTAGTTTGTGGGAGGCCCACTAATGGAAGGCACTGGGGGACTCAAGGCCTATTTTACAAGGTCCCTTATTTCTGCCCAGGTGTAAACAGAATGACCAGTGAGGAACAAGTGGACCGACTGATGTTTGTGGGAGGCCCACCAATGGAAGGCACTGGGGGACTCAAGGCTTTCTTTACAAGGTCCCTCTGAAGTTTGCCAATGAACATCTAAATGATTCAGAGTAGGATTGAGAGAAAGTGCTGTGGTCAGATGAGACCAAAATTGAGCTCTTTGGCAAAAACTCAACTCGCCGTGTTTGGAGGAAGGAAAATGACGATAATGACTCTAAGAACACCATCCATCCCTACAGTCAAGCACGGAGGTGGAAACATTATGCTTTGGGGCTGTTTCTCTGTTAAAGGTACAGGCCGACTTTGCCACAATGAGGGGCCAATGGATGGGGCCATGTATTGTAAAATCTTGGGTGAGAACCTTCTTCCCCCAGCCAGAACACTGAAGATGGGTTGTGGATGGGTCTTCCAGCATGACAATGACCCAAAACATACCACCAAGGCAACAAAGGAGTTGCTCAAGAAGAAGCATATTAAGGTCATGGAGTGGCCTAGCCAGTCTCCACACCTGAATCCTACAGAAAATTTATGGAGGGAACTAAAACTTCGAGTGGCCAAGCAACAGCCAGGAAACCTTCAGGGTTTAGAAAAGATCTGTAAACAAGAGTGGACCAAAATCCCTCCTCAGATGTGTGCAAACCTGGGAAGCAACTACAAGGAACGTCTCACCTCTGCTCCCCAACAAGGGTTTCTCCACCAAGTACAAGGAACGTCTCACCTCTGTGCTCACCACCAACAAGGGTTCCTCCACCAACTACAAGGAACGTCTCACCTCTGTGCTCGCCAACAAGGCCTCCACCAACTACAAGAAACGTCTAACCTCTGTGCTCGCCAACAAGGGTTCCTCCACCAACTACAAGGTTCCTCCACCAACTACAAGGAATGTCGCACCTCTGTGCTCGTCAACAAGGGTTCCTCCACCAACTACAAGACACGTCTTACCTCTGTGCTCACCAACAAGGGTTCCTCCACCAACTGCAAGAAACGTCTCACCTCTGTGCTCGCCAACAAGGGTTCCTCCACCAAGTACAAGGAACGTCTCACCTCTGTGCTCACCAACAAGAGTTCCTCCACCAACTACAGGAACGTCTCACCTCTGTGCTCACCAACAAGGGTTCCTCCACCAACTACAAGGAATGTCTCACCTTTGTGCTGGCCAACAAGGGTTCCTCCACCAACTACAAGGAATGTCGCACCTCTGTGCTCGCCAACAATGGTTCCTCCACCAACTACAAGAAACATCTCACCTCTGTGCTCACCAAGAAGGGTTCCTCCACCAACTACAAGGAACGTCTGACCTCTGTGCTCACCAACAAGGGTTCCTTCACCAACTACAAGAAACGTCTCATCTCTGTGCTCACCAACAAGAGTTCCTCCACCAACTACAGGAACGTCTCACCTCTGTGCTCACCAACAAGGGTTCCTCCACCAACTACAAGGAATGTCTCACCTTTGTGCTTGCCAACAAGAGTTCCTCCACCAACTACAAGAAACGTCTCACCTCTGTGCTCGCCAACAAGGGTTCCTCCACCAACTACAAGAGACGTCTCACCTCTGTGCTCGCCAACAAGGGTTCCTCCACTAACTACAAGGAACGTCTCACCTCTGTGCTCACCAACAAGGGTTCCTCCACCAACCAAAAGGAACGTCTCACCTCTGTGCTCACCAACAAGGGTTCCTCCACCAACTACAAGGAACGTCTGACCTCTGTGCTTGCCAACAAGGGTTCCTCCACCAACTACAAGGAACGTCTGACCTCTGTGCTCACCAACAAGGGTTCCTTCACCAACTACAAGAAACGTCTCATCTCTGTGCTCACCAACAAGGGTTCATCCACCAACTACAAGGAACGTCTCACCTCTGTGCTAGCCAACAAGGGTTCCTCCACCAACTACAAGAAACGTCTGACCTCTGTGCTTGCCAACAAGGGTTCCTCGACCAACTACAAGGAACGTCTGACCTCTGTGCTCGCCAACAAGGGTTCCTCCACCAACTACAAGAAACGTCTCATCTCTGTGCTCACCAACAAGGGTTCATCCACCAACTACAAGGAACGTCTCACCTCTGTGCTAGCCAACAAGGGTTCCTCCACCAACTACAAGGAACGTCTCACCTCTGTGCTCACCAACAAGGGTTCCTCCACCAAGTACTAAGTCATGTTTTGCTTGGGGATCAAATACTTATTGTACTCCCTGAACTGCAACTCCATTTATAACATTTGTATTGTGTTGTTTCTTGATTTTTGGTTGATATTCTGTCTCTATCATTTATATACACTGATGATAACACATTATAGACCCTTCATTTCGGTGGGAAAACCTACACAATCTACCGGGGATCAAATCATTGTTTTCCCCTCTGTATCCTTCCTTTTCCTTTGTAAAAACTGAGGAGAAGAATGCATCAGCTCCATCTAGTGGCTATAATGAGGTATTGTCCCCAAGCTACTCCATCAGGAAAAATGTCCCATTATGGCCACTAGATGGAGCTGATGAACGTAGGAAATCATTATGTTAGGCAAAAACCAGTAAGACTTTGTCACCCAAATTATTTTTTATAAACCCCTAAATGTTTACAAACGTTTACACCACAAAATGCACTCAGCCAATGACAGATCCTGACTCCATTTTTATTCTTCTCCTGCCATCCATGGCCAACCCGGTCCCACACTTCATCCATGTCTTTGGTGACCTCTGACCTCCTTATGAACTGTTTCTTTCATGATGAAGATCAGCCATGGATTATATCTGAGGTGTATATCAGGGTGTGCTTCTTCCCCACATGAGAGCTGGGATGTCCAGCAACATTCATCTAGAAGACATTTCCCACACTCAAGGCACTAATACACCTCCAGGGTTGTGTGGGACCCCAGGAAGACAGGACATCAGTGAGGAACATTTCCCTCACTCAGGACAGGACTGTGACTTCTCCCTTGTGTGAGATCTCTGATGTTTGTAAAGACTGGAAGTCCTTGAAAAACATTTCCCGCACTCAGGACAGCAATATGGCTTTTCGCCCGTGTGAGTTCTCTGATGTCTGTAAAGATCACACTTCTGGAAAAAACATTTCCCGCACTCAGAACAGGAATACGGCTTCTCCCCCTTGTGAGACCTCAGATGTTTGAATAGGGAGGATTTATGAAGAAAACTTTTCTCGCACTCAGGACAGGAATAGGTCTTCTTATCCAAATGCAACATCTGATGTCTATAAAGACTGGACTTCTCCGAAAAACATTTCCCGCACTCAGGACAGGAATACGGCTTCTCCGCTGTGTGAGATTTCAGATGTTTGTAAAGGTTTGAATCGTGTGAAAAACATTTCCCGCACTCAGGACAGGAATACGGCTTCTCCGCTGTGTGAGACTTCACATGTTTGTCAAGATGTGACTTCTGTGAAAAACATTTTCCGCACTCAGTACAGGAATATGGCTTTTCCCCCGTGTGGGATTTCTGATGTCTGTAGAAATTGGACTTGTTTGAAAAACATTTCCCGCACTCAGAACAGAAATACGGCTTCTCGCCTGTGTGAGATTTCTGATGTCTGTAGAAATTGGTTATGTTTGAAAAACATTTCCCGCACTCAGAACAGGAATACGGCTTCTCCCCCCGTGTGAGACCTCTGATGTGTGACAAGTTTTGATTTTTTTAAAAAACATTTCCCGCACTCAGAACAGGAATACGGCTTCTCCCCCATGTGCAATCTCAGATGCGTGTAAAGGTTGGACGTCCTTGAAAAACATTTCCGCACTCAGGACAGGAATACGGCTTTTCACCCGTATGAGTTCTATGATGTCTGTAAAGATCGCACCTCTGGAAAAAACATTTCCCGCACTCAGAACAGGAATACGGCTTCTCACCCTTGTGAGACTTCAGATGTTTGAATAGGGAAGCGTTATGGAGAAAACTTTTCTCGCACTCAGGGCAGGAATAGGCCTTCTTACCGGAATGAAAAATCTGATGTCTGTAAAGACGGTACTTTTTTGAAAAACATTTCCCGCACTCAGGACATGAAAGTGGCTTCTCACTTGTATGAGACATTTTATGCGCATTAAGACCGGATTTAAATAGAAATTGTTTCCCACACTCGGGGCAGGAGAAGCTCTTCCCTGTTGGAAGGCCAGCCCAGTCCCGCACAGTCTGAGGTTCCTCAGGATACGAGGAATACGATGGTCCATCTATACTGTGTGGTGCCAGATGGACATTTTTGGTTGAACGGTCTTCTCCTGGACAATATTGGGCATAGTGAGGTCTTCTCCTGGACAATGTTGGGACATAGTGGGGTCTTTTTCTGGACAAAATTGGGAGATAGTGGGGTCTTCTCCTGGACAATGTTGGGACATAGTGGGGTCTTCTCCTGGACAATATTGGGACATAGTGGGGTCTTCTCCTGGACAATGTTGGGACATAGTGGGGTCTTCTCCTGGACAATATTGGGACATAGTGGGGTCTTCTCCTGGACAATGTTTGGACATAGTGGGGTCTTCTCCTGAACAATATTGGGACATAGTGGGGTCTTCTCTTGGACAATATTGGGACATAGTGGGGTCTTCTCTTGGACAATGTTGGAAGGGAGTCGGGTTTTCTCCTGAACTATACTGTGTGATGTCCTCATCTTCTACTTTCCAGTCTGGAGACAAAGTGAGACAATCCTCGGAGGTTTTCCTCATCTCCCGGCCATGGACTAAAATACAAAGACAAAGAGGATTACTAGACAGGAGCTGATTGGTTCCCCCAAACCAGGACTCCGCCCACATCAGGCAGCTTGGTCTCTGAGGAGCTTACAATTCCACCCTCAAGGGAACTAGGAAATGGCTCCTCTGATCTCCTACCAAGTCATTTCTTTATTCATGGACCTTAGTCAGAGAGTGAGCAAACAACCAGAACGGTCTTCTCTAGGAGGGACAGTGATGAGGGGATTATAGGACGAGGGTCCCCACCCCCTCTATCACTCATCGCCATCTTTCCCATACCCAGCCTAAAACCATGCATGATCTTGCAAATGTTTGTGTGAAATGAGTGACTCTCACCCCCAATTTAGAGCTAGTAGGGGAGCTTGAGTTACACACATCCCCTACGAACATGCCAAACAGATCTGGGTCCCCGCTTGAAAAATATTTAAAAAATAAATAAACAAAAAGGGGTATTTGTCCCTTCCTCTGGGGTTCAAGACACATGCCTTGGGAGCTTAGGGACCCAGCCTGGAACCACCTGGAGGTTGAACTGAGGGACTGCCACCCCTGGGACAGGTGTGGTGGTGGACAGGTGATGATGGGGCTTTGATGGTGAGATTTTCTGTAGAGTTCAAGACACATCCCTCCTGGGCTGCTGGGCTACAGTTACCAGTCCTAGTCCATGCCTCAGGAGCTTAGGGACCCAGCCTGGAACCACCTGGAGGTTGAACTGAGGGATTGCCACCAGCCTGGGACAGGTGTGGTGGTGGCCAGGTGACGATGGGGCTTTGATGGAGAGATTTTCTGTAGGGTTCAAGACACATCCCTCCTGGGCTACGGTTACCAGTCCTAGTACATGCCTCAGGAGCTTAGGGACCCAGCCTGGAACCACCTGGAGGTTGAACTGAGGGATTGCCACCAGCCTGGGAAAGGTGTGGTGGTGGACAGGTGACGATGGGGCTTTGATGGAGAGATTTTCTGTAGGGTTCAAGACACATCCCTCCTGGGCTGCTGGGCCACGTTTACCCAGTCCTAGTCCATGCCTCAGGAGCTTAGGGACCCAGCCTGGAACCACCTGGAGGTTGAACTGAGGGATTGCCACCAGCCTGGAACAGATGTGGTGGTGGCCAGGTGACGATGGGGCTTTGATGGAGAGATTTTCTGCAGGGTTCAGGACACATCCCTCCTGGGCTGCTGGGCCATGGTTACCAGTCCTAGTCCATGCCTCAGGAGCTTAGGGACCCAGTCTGGAACCACAAGTTTAACATGGTCTTGCACATGTCCATGTGAAACATGAGACTCTTGTCCTTGATTTGTGATGCAGAGTTAGTAGCTCGAGTTACACACATCCCCTCTTAACATGCCAAACAGAGCTGCTTGGACAACATAAAATAATGGTAGTCATTTCCTCCTCTGTGTAAGGTCCCTAGCAAGTCACCACAATCTCCGGTCACTAGGGGGCACTTACATGCATCTGCACAGCTCTGCTTTGCCATCAAGATGAAAAATATCTACCATTTTGGTCATCTATTCATCTTGAGGGCCAATGACTGCAATTTTTGCTTGATTTTATGTTCCACTGACTGAACTCTGCCGGAACCTAGGGAACCCAGGACTTTGTGAAGTATTTTTCAGCCTTTACTCCCTTTCGCTTCATCCCCTTTTTCTACACTCTTTTCTTTATCTTTTATTAAATAAAATTGAAATTTTTCGATAAGCGCAACTTTAATGCACTAAACCAGAACTTAACCCCCTCAATACCGGACACTCCCCCCCCACTCCCTGCCCCCACCAATTTTTAGCAGTCTCACACTTGGAATGACAATTGTGCGGTCATGCAACGTTGTACCCAAGTGACAATTTGTGTAATTTTCTTTTTGGAGATTTGGAGACAGATAGAGCTTTCTTTCAGTGTAAAAGTTTCCTGGTGGAGATCCTTGCTGGTAGATCAGGGCAGTGATGACATATTCCATACATTTGAGAAAGGAGGCGGGTCTGTCTGTGGACTCGTGAGAAGTGACATTCAGATTATAGATTGCCAAATGAAAAAGGTAAATTGAAACTTTTAAAACCAGTGGAGGGACGTTCTTGTTGCTAAATAGGGCTGTAGCATCTGATCGATGAAATCCACCCCCCCTCCCCATGAACTGGTTATAATCATGGGCGCACTCGGGCTTTTGGATGGGACGGAGTCTTCCATGAATTTCCACCGAGGTGCATTGTGGATCGTGGACAGGGGGGACGTCATAGGACATCCACCGAGATTGGCTGTGGTCCAGCCCGATCGTCAGTCTACTATAGGCTGGAACCAGATAAAGAATTCCCATCTGAAGAGCGCTACCCAGCCCCCGCCCTACTCTGGACCAATCAGTGAGCAGTATGGGTGGAGGAATGGATTTAGTGTTCATGACCCACCTGTGCTGATCTCTGTAGGAGTGTCCTCCTCTATAAATGTCCCCATTATTCCATCCTCCTCCATAGACTGCTGATCATCCCTCACATATGCCTCTTCTTCTTCTGATTTTACCTCAACTTTTATATCTGTCAGATCTTCACCCTAAACCAAGGGAGAGAAAATATCATATTGTAGGGTTCATACATCATCTCCACAAGTCACTTTTGTGTTCTAGATTCTCCGTCCCACCAACCTTGTAACAGTGAGGGACGGTGTGACCTTCCTGTGTGGAATCCCGGGAATACAGAGGACGGGGACATCTCTCTGGTGGGTTCTTGATATTAGGTGGCTCCATTGTGATATCCTTGTGTCCCTCTGAAAGCTCCTTCATCACTCCATACTCCTCATCCTCCACTTTATACTCTTCTTTAACAACAATATTATAATCTTCAAGAATTCCACTCTGAAAGATATAATAAAACATTCATTGTAACATTCTGTGTATAAATCAGAACTATCAGAGATTGTTCCTCATCTACCTGATGATGGTGAGGGATAGTGTGATCTTCCTGTGTGGAATCCTGGGAATACAGAGGACGGGGACATCTCTCTGGTAGGTTCCCATGACTGGATCCATCTACCTGATGATGGTGAGGGATGGTGTGACCTTCCTGTGTGGAATCCCAGGAATACAGAGGACGGGGACATCTCTCTGGTGGGTTCTCATGACTGGATCCATCTGAAGGAAACACACACACACTGACCTAATCCATTGTTTCTATGTGTTTATCAGATGATGGGGGATCTAGGTGGATCCTCCGTACTGCTCTCTCCTTTCCAATAAAGTCTCCTCTTACCCGGTGATGTGAGGGGCGGCTGATTGTCCATCATGACGTCCTTGTAGAGGTCCTTGTGTCCATCTAAATACTCCCACTCCTACATGGAGAAATAGACAGTGACACCCTGACACCTTATAGGAACCTGACACACACAATGATACAGTCACCATCCAGACACATCCCTTGTCTGTTACTGGAGAATGTCCCAGAATTCCCGGCACCGCTCACCTCTCCTGTCAGCAGCTCCATCATCTTCTTGGTGACTTCTAGAATCTTTTGCATGTTGTGTCTCTCAGGGTTTAGGAAGTCACATGGAGGGACTGTGATGGTCATATGATCACCTGACTTCAGAAGAGGAAATCTCTGTATTGGGGAACCAATAGGAATATCATGTTAGACTCCCAGAATCCCCCTCACCTCTCCGGTCAGGTCTGTGTTTTATTAATAGAGATAGGAGTGATGTCATGTGACCTCCCGGAATCCTCCTCACCTCTCCAGTCAGGTCTGTGTTTTATTAATAGAGATAATAGGGATGTCATGTGACCTCCCAGAATCCTCCTCACCTCTCCGGTCAGGTCTGTGTTTTATTAATAGAGATAGGAGTGATGTCATGTGACCTCCCGGAATCCTCCTCACCTCTCCAGTCAGGTCTGTGTTTTATTAATAGAGATAATAGGGATGTCATGTGACCTCCCAGAATCCTCCTCACCTCTCCGGTCAGGTCTGTGTGATGTCATGTGAGCTCCCAGAATCCTCCTCACCTCTCCCGTCAGGTCTGTGTTTTATTAATAGAGATGAGAGTGATGTCATGTGACCTCCCAGAATCCTCCTCACCTCTCCGGTCAGCAGGTAGATGATCTCCAGGGTGAGGTTTAGTATCCTCTCAGTCATGTGACTCCGGTCCTCCTCCATCCTCATTGGTCTATACAGGTCTCCTTGTAGACGGATAACTTTGGCAAATGACAGTAAGAATGATTTGGATGGTATTGGTCACACAATAATAGGATTAGGATGTGGATGTGGGGGAGAGAGAGGTGGGGGTAATAAGGGGGTTGCT